CCGCACTCCCCCCGCGCCACCCCCACCACCGGGGGACAGGCCTGCCGCTATTTCATGTTCCCCAAACTTTGGAAGACACTTCAGTTTGATCACGGTAAGCTAAATAGTGCGACCCCCTCCGCCGCTGGCCAAACAAGGGAGGCTGGCAGGGCTCCGGATCGCGCCGAGCCAAGTCCGAACCGTGCGTCCGCGTGTGGCCCGTGTCAACCTGCCGGGACAGTGTTTATCAGTGCGTCAGTGTTGTGCCCGGACACCCCGTGCACCATGTGTTGTGACTAGTGACAAATGCGAATGAAACAACTGTACAGCCCTCGTTCCGTGGATGGTGACTCCATGTTGTCGCAGAAGCTGTATGGGGACGCGCCAGTGAGCAGCGCCATGAGCCCCGCCATGAGGGCGCGGTCCCCCATGGAGTCGTCGTACTCCATGACCTCCATGAACTGTGTGGCGATGAACTCGATGAGTTCACCGCAGGGCGCGTCGGCCGCCTTCAGCCCGGACCACCGCCACCGGATGGACAGGATGCATGACATGAGCTCCATGAACAACTGCATGCCCGGGTCCAGCCTGAGCTCGTCCATGGGCTACAGCTCCCCCATGGGCGGCGTGGGCGTGAGCTCGTGCATGGGCACCATGAGCACCATGAGCAGCCTCCCCATGAGCTGCTCGATGGCGGGCTACTCCAACCTGGGGCCGCCGTTGAGCGGGCGCGGCGAGCCGGGTGCCGCCGAGCCCGTGTCCCCCAACTCGCAGCTGCGGCGCGGCCAGGAAAAGCCCTACCGCCGCTCCTACACGCACGCCAAGCCGCCCTACTCGTACATCTCGCTCATCACCATGGCCATCCAGAACACGCCCACCAAGATGCTCACCCTGTCCGAGATCTACCAGTTCATCATGGACCTGTTCCCCTTCTACCGGCAGAACCAGCAGCGCTGGCAGAACTCCATCCGGCACTCGCTGTCGTTCAACGACTGCTTCGTCAAGGTGCCGCGCACGCCGGACAAGCCGGGCAAGGGCTCCTTCTGGACGCTGCACCCGGAGTCGGGCAACATGTTCGAGAACGGCTGCTACCTGCGGCGCCAGAAGCGGTTCAAGGACGAGAAGAAGGAGCAGCAGCGGTCGCACACCAAGAGCACGTCGCCGCACCCGGCCGACGCCAAGAAGGAGGACGAGCACAAGCACATGCACGACAAGGAGGCGCACCTGGGCATGCTGGCGGGCATGCACCCCAAGGTGGAGGACCCCATGTCCATCCTGTCTCACGCGGCCGTCGGCGCCGACCTGTGCGGGCTGCCGCAGCAGCTGCAGCACCACCACCAGCCGCCGCCGCACCACCCGCACCAGCCGCAGCTGCACCAGCTGCAGCAGCAGCAGCCGCCACCCCCGCCCCACCACCACCCGCAGCAGCAGCACCACCAGCCGCAGCCGCACCACCAGACCCAGGACGACCTGGCCGCCCTGGCGGCGCGTCACCTGCCGGGCTCCAACTGCCTCCTGCCCGACTACACCCTCAAACAGGAGTACGCTGCGTCCAACCACCCCTTCTCCATCACGAGGCTGCTGCCCACGGAGAGCAAGGCGGACCTGTACGGCAAACCGTCGGACCTGAAGCTGCAGTACGACATGGCGCAGTACGGCTACAACCACCACAGCGGCTTAGGGGCGGGCCTGGGGGCCGCCGACAGCTACTACCACTACCACCACTCGTCCCCCGGGACCACTGCCTTGTGACAGTACCCGCTGGCCTAAGGCCGCTGGCCTGGGCCGGGCCCAGCTTGGACTGGACACGCCCCCCGCCGTGCGCACGCGTGCGCGAGAGTGCAGAGCGCGTGCAGTGCACGAGACGGACATGTGCCTGAGAACGGTGCAAGTCTTGCCAAATGAGAAAAACAGTGTGAATGAGTACGTGTGGGTATGTGTGAGTGTGTGCGTGGTGTTATTTTCTGAGAAAGTGTGGAGGACTTGTTTTTAAAATCAGTGCGTCATGCTTTTGTACATTTTTATAAAGTATGCAAAAAGTGAAAAAAATATGTTAAAGTGCGAATATTGGCCACGGACTATTTTAAAAGTATTTGTTATATGATATGTTTGAATTTTTCTGTTTTTATTTTGTGTATATA